AGCAAAATCAACAGCAGAAATTTTTGAACTTAGCCAAATAGCATTGTCATGCATAAATCTTGCTTTATTTGTGAGATTTGCTCCATCGCGATAGAAATTGGAAGCAAAGCCTTTTTATACGATCTTTAATTTTGGTATCGTCAACATCTGGTCCAAAAATTGATATAACGTGCTTTTCGACCTCTTCTATTTTTTCGCTTTTCACCTTGCTCAACCAACTCCGACAGAGCTCCTCTCGCGATATGTCACTCATACTAAAAAAAGGTAAAAAATGGGCAGATCTATCAAATATTTGAAAACTTTAAAATGTGTCTTACCTTTCAGGTGGTTATAAAACAATTTTTTCAAAATACTTGAGTGCAAAAATGAATATTGTGTAAAACAAAAATTTTAAGTTTAAGTAATAACCTTCAATACAAAAAATATTTTAGGCCAAAAAAACCACTCACAACTTCGACCTGATCACTCAAACTTTTGTGATCAATGCAAGCTTGCAAATCAATTGTAGCATGCTATGCAATTGCACGTGTTTGATAACTGTTATCACGCCAATTACATTTTTTTATTCTCTTTTGTGTTTGTTTTCGTAACAATTGGGGTCTCTCTCACGTAAAAAAAAAAATATGAGCGAGTTACGAAATCATTTTTTTTTTAATTTCGAGATGCTAGATTGACTAAATCTCACACTGTGCGCCGTCTAGTTATATCTACATTAGAAAACTGTTTATTACGTTATTGCGTATGCGTTACGCCCAACAGTATATAAAAATTACGAGGTATTATTTGCTTAACATTTTATTAAATTACAGCGGAAATGATTTTAACTTTAAATTCTATAGAATTTCTTGTTTTATTAATTAACGCTTACGAATATCGCTCAGAAATATCGCAGTTGCACTAATGTCAATTTCAGTTAAAATTTTCAGTTTTATTTCTTCGTCCAAATTAATGTTCCTGTTTGCAAGTTTGGATTATTTTGTATCTTCAATTTGATTAGACCCACTAAAGAAATCAACAACGAACTTATTGAAGTCGGTATAGAAAATTTTCGGGTGTGATGTTGCCGGAGGTAATGAAAATATTTTGATTGGAACGGACGGATTTTCTATTCTTTTGCTCCATAAATTAAACTTGTATGGACAGATGGAGACATGCAGAACCATTGTGAGGTTATAGAAGAGGTATCAGATCAGTGTCACATTCGACAGTTTCTTACAATTCTGATGTATTTCTGGATTAAAACCAATCATAAAGGGCTTGTCCGATGCACGTAATTCAAACGACAACACTGTTGATCACATGAATTAAAATGATGGAGTTTTCTATATGCATTTTGAATTATTTTGAAACGGCGAATAATTTACTGTTGAAAACGGCAATAAACGCATAAGTGCATAAAGAAAATAAATTGCAGGAGAAATGTGACGGAAACAGTTTATTTTTCAAAACCATTTAATTGTATCCAGATTATGGCAAAATCTGAAGACACCATTGGAAAGGGGAAGTCCTCCTGATACACTGAAAATAATGGACAGACTAGAATTAAGGAAGTGCGCCCCTGTTTTAAAAAGCTCAAAATATACTTATGAATAGTAAAATTTACTCAAAGTATGTAAAGTTGCTTTAATTTGACTAAGTCGTACCCTTCAATTTTAGGACGATCGTACTTAAAATAAGGAAATCGATGTCTTATTTTAAGTTCATGGAATTTTCCTATATTTTAGTAAAATTGTACTGAAAACAAGWTATTTTTAGACTTTATAAGTGAAATAAGTTCAATTTTACTTGGTTTAAGGACAATATTTACTTAAACTTTCAACAAGTAAAAATTTATTCAATTTAAGGATGACTCAACCTTATGCGAACCGACTATTTACTTAACTCAAACTTTGATATAAGGTCATGCTTCCTTATTTTAAGTTCAAGCATACATGGATTGTGTCTCTTTACTCTAATGCAAGCAGACATGAATTCTTTCAAAATAAAGCAGCGATAATCATATTTTATTGAATAGTGACAAGTGAGTGATGGAATTTCTTTATGTGCTATAAAATATGTGTGTCAAATACAAATATGGAAATTGTTTTCGAAGTGGACAAAGTATACAAAATATTGGAATTATTTGATTTAATAGATTTGTGCGATTTACTGAAAGGTAAGTGGGAAAATAATATTGTGAAATAGATACAAGTGCAAACATGTGCCTTTTGAAAATGCATATGTACATACATTAAATTTTTGTGCAGCATTAGCAAAGTTAACTGTACATATGTATGTTTGAATATATTTCACAAGAAAAAAAGCGCCGCGAACGTTTTTGCTTTGTATTAATTTTTGTTTTTGTTTTTTTTTTAAGAACACAACATTACGGAGGAAAGTTAAAGTTTATGCAGAGCAGCCACATTAATGAATTATTCCCCAAAGAACTTTTGGGACGCAAAATTATTTTTGAACAGAGATTGAAGGAGTGGCAAATAGAACAAGGTGTGCTAATTATGAAGTGAAAATGAAAATGAAATAACTAATCAAAACAAATTGCAGCGCGTTGAAATTTTATCTTTTTCATCAGAAAGCACAACGCCCGCAACAGAATCCATTTCTTCTAGTTTTCTTGGTGCGGTTAATGATTTAAATGATGTAAGTATTATTTTGCGTTTCTGAGTAACTTACAAAAAAGTTTAGAAGATTTCGTTATTAGGAATTTTAAAATCTAACGTGAATGGCAATGCTGTTTTAAATTACTTTGAAAATAATCAAAGTTTATCAACCAAGACTCGGAAACTTTTATATTCCTCGATCACGGAATACTTAATTTATAACAAAATTAAGCCAACAAAATTTTAATAAATTTTAGAGCCATTTTCAGTAGTATTTAACAGGAGGAGAATTGCAAAACTTTTATATATTTAATGTAAAAGATATTATTTTCCCTATTATTAAGTATTATAATAATAATAAGTATTTAAAATCTAAGTTTACTTTTTAAGAACAATGAAATGAAATCAATGAAAAAAATAAGTTTTGGCATTTTTATTTAAGACAATTCCATTATTATTAAATGTAAAGAGAGGGAGATTTAATTCTAGAGTCAAAGACCTTTTAATCTAAGGAAGTGATTTTTATTTGATGGCCTTATATTAAGAATGTCTTTACTTTAAATTAAAGACAACAATGTTCTTCGTTTAAAAAAATTTCCTTTAATTTAAGGCAATATTTTCCTCTTTTTAAGGAAACCATATGTAGTTAAAAGTAGAATCCTGTTTCCTTAACTTACGGAAGACATATCTTTAGTGCTATTTCATTCCCATTTTTTCCTTAAAACAAATAMATTTTCCATAGTTTTAGGACACATTTGTTTCAGGGTATAGAATGTATATGCAGTGTATAGATATATAGTTATTTATACCTCAAACGCTTAGTATCGAAATTCGAGCAATTCAACAAGCTAATTCTAATTCACTACATTTAACACAATTTATGCACATGATTAACTTCATTTTATTGAACTATAAGCATTTAAACAAATTCACAATTTACACTTTTTGCAGGTTTTATAAGTAAGTGAGCATCTTTTAAGCAAATATGAGCAATTCGCTGAAATTTCCCTTTTTCGGTTTAATTCCTCTTTCTTTATTTAGCAATCTTAGTTCTAAAAACACAAATGTGTATATAATTTATATTTCAAATTAAAATGAGTATAAACAATATTTCCATGTATAAGGATTTTTTCTTATTTAAAGTTAATAAACAACTAAGTAATATTATATAATAATATTATGTAATAAAAAAATAGAATACTTAGGTTACCCCGGGTGTTGGGTCGATCGGTATTATTTTTTTAAAAGAGTACTACGCAGTCACCCCGGGTATTGGCTCGCCCAGGGTAAGTTTTTAGAGCGTGGCCGATGGCCGCCTACGCAGAAAGAAGTACACGTAAATACTTCAGTCAACCCGCGTATTGGCTCGACTAGTTTTATTTTTTTACAGAGGGGGCGAAGGCCGCCAGCTATGCTCAATTATTGCTTAAAACATTAAAAATAATTTTTTTTAGTTAATAAAAAAAAAAAAGAATCACGCGAAAATACAAACAAAGAAAACGCTGTCGTTAAACAATCCGTGATATTTGCTGTTTAATATGTGGCAACGCTCGTTTTCAACATAATTGTAAACAATCTAACCTTTTCAACTTTTAATTACTTAGATAAAAACTAACAAAATAAAAGTGAAATGTGAACTTATTTTATTGTTTAAAATGTATATTAAAATATACAAAATGAAAAAGTTTAGTGTGTAGATATACTGTGTTATTGATACGACGTTCTGAATTTTTAATCGGGAATATTTAAAGAAAAAATAAATGTGAGCAATATTATCATATTCCTGCTCATACCCCATTATACCGAAATTCGAGTTCAGCTAGCGTAAACGCTGTCGTATAATTTGTTGAACTATGTCAATGTCGTCGTATATCTCATACAGCACATCGTTCCATCGAATGCGATGTTCGCCGTCCCAAACGCCAACCCAAAAAGTACAATAAATCTTCGCAGAACTTTTCTCACGAAATCGTAACGTCAACTCATAGATGTCCATTAGGGTGGGTCGATTTCGGACTTTTTCGATTCGGGATTTTTAATAGTGCGGAAAAGTTGCCTTAGTACTTCCGGATTCCAATGCAACTTTTTGTTTAGAGATCGGATTGCATCTTCAACCCGAACTCCGGCCTTGAAATTTCGGAAATTCGCCTAACAGCGCAAGGTGAAAATCGGCTTGCGGCCACACTTCTTGACGTTGATTTCGCCGAGTGTTATCACTCCCATTCATTCACCTACGCCAAAGGACACGTTCGGATAGGTCTCCACACAAATATTTTTTCATCGAGTTYCTYCMCTCTTGTCGGTGATTTCGCCGAGTTCTATCACTTACATTCATTTCCCTGCGCCATACTACACGTTCGGACTGGTCTCCACATAAATATTTTTTCATCGAGTTCCTTCAYTCTTGTCGTTGATTTCGGCGAGTGCTATCACTTATATTCTCTCAACAGAACACAGAACTCAAAATGTCTGTATCTAAATTTAAATTGAGACAGAAATGTCCTGTGTTTGCCATATAGCCGTACAATCTCTCTGAGTCCCAGTTACCTACTTACCAAGATGTTCTTTTGTGTTATCAGTTTGAAATATTTCGTATAGGGCGACGCCAAGGCGACAACTATGAACCTAGGAGTAAAGAAATTACAGAAATAGTTGCAAAAAAGCTTGAAAATACTTTCAAAAAGTCATCTATTCCGATAGTTTTACACACCAGAGTTGTACAAATGCTCACCACATACCATAAGAAATTTCTGACTCTTAAACAAATGATTTTAAGGAACACAATAGGTTTGAGCTCTAAAAKAGACGACTTTGTCTCTTCTGCCGGAAAATTATTTGACATCGCTGTTTGTAAATGCATTTATTTTTCTTCTTGCACTTGTCGAAAGGAAAGGAAAGTTCCTAACAATGAACAACCAAATATGTTGGACCAGAGAACCAGAAGAATTGGTCGCATTGGAAGTGTTGATCTACCTGAAACAAAAAAGATTACAAAGAAAAATGATCGTAAAGAAAAGCTTTCAAAACGTCATTCAACMTCAACTTCTTCTTCTTGATTGGCGTAGTCACCGCTTACGCGATTATAGCCGAGTTAACAACCGCGCTCCAGTCGTTTCTTCTTTCCGCTCCGTGGCGCCAATTTGATATTCCGAGTGAAGAGAGGTCCTTCTCCACTTGGTCCTTCCAACGGAGTGGAGGTCTTCCTCTTCCTCTGCTTGGTTGTAGATAATTTCGTCTATTTTGGAACCAGCCAACACCACTATTTTGGAACACCACCAACAATGTCAGTCTAGAAATCCAACGCAGGATAACTCTTGCCAACAGGTGCTACTTCGGATTGAGTAGGCAATTGAGAAGCAACGTCCTCTCTCGACAAACAAAAACCAAACTCTATAAGTCACTCATAATTTCCGTCCTGCTATATGGTGCAGAGGCATGGGCGATGTCAACAACGGATGAGTCGACGTTGCGAGTTTTCGAGGGAAAAGTTCTGCGAAAGATTTATGGTCATTTGCGCGTTGGCCACGGCGAATATCGCATTAAATTTAAGGATGAGCTGTACGAGCTATATGACGACATTGTCATAGTTCAGCGAATTAAAAGACAGTGGCTACGCTGGCTAGGTCATGTTGTCCGGATGGACGAAAACACTCCAGCTCTGAAAGTATTCGACGCTGTACCCGCCGGGGGAAGCAGAGGAAGAGGAAGACCTCCACTCCGTTGGAAGGAAGAGGTGGAGAAGGACCTGGCTACGCTTGGAATATCCAATTGGCGCCACGTTAACTCGGCTGTAATCGCGTAAACGGTGTCTACGCCAGTAAAGAAGAGGAATGCTAGAGATCGGGGCGCGTGCCGCCTAGAAACAAATGGGTTTCACCACGAAGTAGCGCATATATTTTATAGGGTGTAACCCCCCATCTAATTTTGCATACGCTACGCCTATGGGATAAATATCGCTTTATTGTAGCGTTAAATCTTCTTTCATTTGTTATTTGCATTCAGCATATGTATGTATATCCACCTGTTTTAAGTGTTAAGTTATAATGGCCTCGTTGAATTTACGTTCATCGGCATATGCTTCAATTGTGCGCCTTGGGAAAGAAATCCAGACTACAGATTTCAATCCGTATAAAGTGGAGTGTGAAGTTTCACTCTTTGATCGGTTTATACTTCACCACTTTGATCTGGTCAGCAAGGCGAAGGAAGACGAAATTGCATCTCGAAGGGACTTGTTTGTGTGTCATGCTGCAACGCCGTTTAAACCCCCGAACTGCCGTCCAGGTTGCATCATTGACAATAAATCACGTGGCAGACATGCGACTAGAGAAGGTATTAACTATCAACTACTATCAAGAAAGGGTTCCGATGATTGGAGGATTATATCGGTGGCTACCACGAGGTGTAGTCGGAGCTAAAACGCCGTTATAATAATCCTCGCTTACTGGAAGAAACACACATGCAGATCTTTCTTGATGTGTGCGAAATTCATTTCATGCACTTGCTGTTATGGACACTCTAGTGCACCACTGGGATACGATAGCAGTTTCTGTACTTTTGCCGAAGTTACCAACGACAAGGCGAAATTAATGGAAAATGAGCCTACCAAAGTTGGAAGATCTGCTGCTATTTCTCGAACGACGTGCTAACAACATTACCATTGCACCACAAACCGTTAGCACACAACCGTTGTTTAGGCATTTCGCCTCTCGCAAATTCAGGCTCACGTAGGCGCCACGAATAGTACACTTTGTACAAACGCATAATCCGCCAACGTTGGTTGCCCTCAGTGATCAGGTAATCATCGTCTAATAAKGTGTCTTCAGTTTCGAAACATGCAAGTCTCTGAACGATGGGAACTTGTAAGGCGTTTAGCAGTATTTCGTAATTGCCTACGATCAGGACATATCGTCCGCCCGTGTACTTCTGGTGCATTTCCGTTTTGCCAGGATGGGCATAACACGCTACTCTGCCGACGTCCAGGTACAAAACCTGTGGATAATAAAGCGGATACGCGTCTATTACCTTCATCAGCAGCTTCGGTAACAAYGCCTAGCTCTACATCAACAATTAACTAAGGTGCTGCGGTGAACCACACTTCTACCGGACCGCAAGTGTATTCCCGCCAGTAATGACAATTGAATGAGGTCCAGTCGTTAGTTGTGCAAGATGACCGCACCATTGCACTTGCGACGTCTATGATGCTCCTTTCGGATTGCCATGGGAGTCCTTTTGAATGCCGTGCATTATGCGACATCGAATATCAGGTGAGCTTT